ACTTCATCTTTCAGTACTACCAATACTCGCTAACTTCATTTTGTAGCACTACCAATACTCGCTAACTTCATCTTACAGTACTACCAATACTCGCTAACTTCAGTATGCTGCCTCTGTTAAAACATTTCCTAACTTCATCCTACAAGACGACCAGCACCAAGACATTCGGTAACTTCATCTTAAGGTGCTACAAGATAATAGAACTGCTCCCCCCCACCCGCAACATTGTAACTCCAGTCCGTAGAAATTCCTCATTTAAAATACCCGTTAACTTCAGCCTGGCACATTTCATCGGAAAATATATTGATTCTGACCCCAGACCATGTAACATTGAGAGGAAGGGTTTGGAAGCCATGAACTTTTGAAGACGTCAATAATAATCAATGTATATTTCGTCTTGGCTCTGAACCATTGTTGCGAGTAGGCTGTAGACCATAAATTTGCTCCTTTCTTCTTTTGTGTACATTAAAAAAATATGACAATATCTGTACATATACATTTAAATTTTCATTAAGCCGGTCAGTAACGCTTTCTCAAGTCTGTCGATGATTCTTTGTGAAAATGAAGTGAAGGCTACTCACCCCGCAGTTCAAATACACACACACACACGCACTGGAACTGTTAACACACCAAACTGTTAACACACCAAACTGTTAACACACCAAACTGTTAACACACCAAACTGTTAACTGAACTGTTAACACACCAAACTGTTAACACACCAAACTGTTAACACACCAAACTGTTAACACACCAAACTGTTAACACACCACAAAACAAATGCACATCAAGAATATTAAAGTCCATTTAATAATTTAATCTTGCTTAAACACACAAACATAACATAAACACAAACCCTCAGAAAATGCATAAAAACAAAGTCATATGAGAGAAAGAGAAGGAGGGAGGGATACTTAAACAGACGTATCGATAGTGAGGCGAGAGTCTGAGTAGAGAAAAACAAAATAAGAGAACAAGACAGAAAACAGCTGCAAGAGATAGGAGACGTGAAGGCGAGGGATCGTGAGAACTTAATATTGACGAGGAGAACGTCGGTGAAGTACAAAACAGAAACAAATGTAAAGTTAACGTAGAGAAAACAGTATTGCCAAGAAGAACTACGCTGGGGTAAAGTTACCATTGTGGTATATGAAGGAGGAGGGTCAGATATAAAGGAAATTTCTTAATATTATCTTTGATGCTTGTTTGCTACTATTGTCTTACAAGATTGGTTTAACATGTCATCAATTTACTGTAGAGTGTGTGTGTGTGTGTGTGTGTGTGTGTTAACTCCAGTTATTATGTATATTATGCATATTTATACATTGCTTTATTACTTTCATTGAGAGAAAGACCATAAAAGAAATATATATTTTAAGATACCAACCAAAATAGAGACAGTATAGTATTATGATCATCAAATCGGCAAAAAATAAAAATAAAATAAAAATCAGTAATTTGATAAAAATTCACGGGGACAAATATCCATGGTAAATATTCACAGGGACCCGTATCCTATGTCAACAAACATCACTGTCGCGTTCATTGTTACAAAAACTATGGAATGTAATCCATATAATTCCAATATTTTTCATAAACAGGGAGGGTAGGTTTTTTTTTCTATGTTTCTTTTGATAAAAGACGCGGGGGATATTTTTTTGACTGTACTGTATATTATTATTCAGACGATCTGTGGAGGGGCCAAGAGGGTGTGAAGGAGAAGAGTGTAGCGGATAGCATTCAAGGAAAGAAAAAAGAGGGAATGTTAAATAAAAGGAAACGCGAACGGGAAAGGTGACATAGGAGATAGGAAATGATTAAAATTAGGGTAACAGAGCACAATGGAACAGAGAAGACATAATAGATAACGATAAAGATCTGAAGATACGAGAGAAATGGGAATTATTACACTTGAATTTTTTTTACGAATTCGAGGAAAAAATCAGAGAATAATTTTTTTTTATATATAAATAGGATAAACGTAGAGAGAAAGAGATGGTTCTGAAGAATATAAGACTTGTAGATAAGAAGGAAAGAACAATAATAAACAAATGAGAGAATTTAGAAAAAATAATAAGACAACATAATGAATTAAAAGTGCAAAAAAGATCACAAGAAATGGGCTCTGAAGGGATGAATTAACATATAAACAGGTGATACAAAATAATGAAGGTATAGGAGACGAAGTGTGGTGGTACTGTGGCTAGAACGAGGGGACATGAAAACTTGATTAGAAACAGAGTGTGTGGGAGCAGCATACCAGAATATTATCTTATACGTAAAAGAAATAAAGAGTTGGTGAGAGAATTTTGTCAAGATTCAGAATAGATATAAGTTCAAATATAAACAAGAGCGAGGAGGAGATGCAAGAAGCTAATAGAAAGACTAAAGAGATGTAGAGAGAAAATACAATAAACTCACAAGAATGAACTGCATACTACTGAATAATGTAATGCAAGCAGCAGCCACCCGGGCAACACACAACACACCTCAGCCTCTGTAACCCAGACTATTTCGGTGGCTCTGAGAGACGCTTGATTCTCAGCCATGGCCCAGGGAAGCTCTGTTTCAGCCACGGCTCAGGGGAGTTCACAGTCTCAGACATGGCCCAATAAAGCTCTCAGTCTCAACCATGGCCTCGAGAAACTCTCAGTCTTATCCAAAGCTCTCAGTCTTAGCCATGGCCCAGGGAAGCTCTCAGTCTTAGCCATGTCCCAGGGAAGCTCTCAGTCTCTGCCATGGGCCAAGGAAGCTCTCTGTCTCAACCATGGCCCAAATGAGCTTACTGTCACAGCCATGGCTCAGTAAAGCTCTCAGTCTCAACCATGGCCCAGGTAAACTCTCAGTCTCAGCCAGAAACTGTCTGGGTTACCAAGGCTTTGAGGGCCGTAGACGACGAGGAGGCATTGAAAAGGACGAGAACATAGAAGGAGCACTCGAGCAGACGGTGACGCGGCACGTCAGTACAACACGCGTGCTACATGCTGTTCCACCTGGCGACCCTGACCAAAGCTGGCACTAGTTGGCCTCAGTACACACCTGATCTGGCACTGGTTGGCACCCCATTAATGGATTAATCTCTATGTATCACGATCGAGTCTGACGATTCTAGTTTAGTATGCGCAGTGAAGTGATATAGGAGACGTGGGAATGAATATTTAATTACGGTACAAGAAGACGTAAGTGTGTGTATTGTGTCTGTCTCAACCCCTATACTGTACTGTTGCTTTGTATACTGTTTTTACACACCTATCTCTCTCTCCCTTTAACCTCCCTTTTAGAAGTTTCTATTTTCCTCTATCCACCCCAATCAAAAAAAAAATGGGAGACTAAATAGAGAAAATAAGATAACCAGATAAATAAAAATCATTTAGGTTCTATATCTATAATCTGATCAATATATAAAAACTATAAATACATATATCTTAAATGTGCCTAACACAAGAGTGATCGCGGGGCTTCTACCTCACACTAGCACAGTTACAGTATAGTTAAATAAACTGTGTGTGTGTGGGGGGGGTTGACGCTTGTTGCCGACTCATAATGTGCAAAAATAATGCGAAATATTTCCATGACTTTTGGCAATAAATAGAGTAGTAATGAGCGGATTGTTGTAATTTTCATAATTAATGGATTTTATGTTCACTTAATTAAATTTTCAGTTCTTAATAGACTGTGGATATAGTGCTATGATCCAGCTATAGTAACACACACATGATATTTTGAGTAAACGTTCCCAAAACACAAAGACAACCTAACATAACCTAATGAATTCAGAATATATTTTAGTTCAGTATAGTTTACTGTAGATGGTGCATTTCCAAGTTTTTCAAGAACTTCGAGTAAAATTGCATTTCTATATTGATTGCCAACATGAGGGGTTGTGGTTACGTCACTAACATCATTACTAAAAAAAATATTTCTCCTAATTATTATTTTTTGTACATTATTAAGAACTGTAACGTATTGTAACGATATTCACAGTTATTAAAAAAACAAAAAACACTATCATTAAATATTTTAGGTGAAAAATAGTTACAATTTATCTTTTTAGAGTCAGGGAATAATTATATATGTGGATATTTTTTATGTGTACGTTTAGCGAGGCCAAGAAAGATCACATTTTCGGTAAGAGGCGAAATAACAGTTACCTGGTGGGTAAACCTGTGATTCAAACCACCAAAAGATATTCTCACGTTTTATTGAGTTATCTCTGGTGATCTTGGTGTGTTCGACGCCCCAAGAACAGTGCTAAAATGAGGGAGGGGGGTTGGGCTGTTTTAAGGGGGGCTGGTGAGGGTTGTTTAAGGGGTTGGTGAGGGCTGTTTTAAGGGGCTGGTGAGGGCTGTTTAAGGGGTTGGTGAGGGTTGTGTATGGGGGTTGGTGAGGGCTGTGTGTGGGGGTTTAGTGAAAGTTGTGTGTAGAGGGGCTAGAGAGGGGTGTTTAGGAGATTGGTGAGGACTGTTTAAGGGGACTGATGAGGTTTATATTAGGAGGGGCTGGTGAGAACTGTGTGGAGGGATGGTGAACGTTGTGTGTGGGGGCTGGTAAGGGTTGTGTGGGGGGATGTATCAAGGGGCTGGGAAGGGGCTAATGAGGCTGTGTTTGTTGGAGACGGATACTGAGGGCTGTGTTTATGAGAGGGGCAGTTGAGGGCTGCGTGTGAGGGGCTGGTGAAGGCCGTTTTTGTGAGAGGGTTTGGTGGGACTGTGTTTGTGGGAGGGGCTGGTGGGGGCTGTGTTTGTGGGAGGGGCTGGTGAGGGCTGTGTTTGTGGTAGGGGGCTGGTGGGCTGATGTAAGTAGGGCGTGGTTGGCCTGGGTTTCCATCGTGCCAGATCAGGTCAGACGAGGGCTAGATGCTATTAAACAGGGTATGGGTGTGTGTGACCAGCACATGACCACCGAGATGACCCCGTGTTGGGGACTGGGGTCAAAGGTCACCAGGTGGAAGTCATGCGGCCCCCGGGGTCGTCCCAAGGGGCGGGGTCAGCGAGTCTTACCGCGGGTGGAGGGGGGAGGGCGGCCTCCGTATCCGTGACCTCGGGGGCAGCCGGGTGTAGTGCCGGGGTCACACCGTTGTTGTCGCCGTTCTGTGGTGCCTTAGGAGGTATCTTGCGCACAGAGTTGGTGCCATAACTCACGTTGTTAGCCACGGAGTTGCCCTCAGACTGGAGGTCGCCGTTGGTGTGGGGTCCGCTGTGCGACGCGGCGTCCGAGGAGGCCAGGGAGTCGACGTGCGTCACCTCGGTGCCCTGCGACGAGCGGCCACTTACGTGCGACTGATTGTCAGGACGAGGGTCGGGAGCAAGGCCATCCGAGCGGTAGGTCTCCACGCGGCCATTCTGCGGCTTGGTAGCGTCGAGCAGCACCTTCAGCGAGGCGATGGCGTGCAGTTGCGTCGCCTTCTCGTCCACCTTCCCTGTAACACACAGTTAACAGTTAGCAATGGCGTCTCTATGACTGTCTATTGTGGAGGAGGGAGAGAGTGATACCCAGTCCCTTCACCATATAATTGTATGCAGTATTATTTACACTTATCTGAAGAGTTTTTCTCAGGGATCTACACCTAAATTTCCATCAAACATGCATGCAAATATGCATCAATATGCAGCGGAGTTGTAGCACTTAGGAACAAACATTCTCCAACTCCAGAATGAACAGTGTAGATGTGGAGTCTGTGTTTGTGTCTTTATAAATAGTTCCTGTAATGTCACGGCCACAAGAGAATGTCAGTGTGTGTGTGTGTGTGTGTGTGTGCGTGTGTGTTACATTTAGGCGAGCTTTAAAACTTGAGCAAGGACATCCTAGCCTTCCTTAGCTTTTCTACAGGAGAGTAGAAGGACCCGAAGGAAATTTTAATGGTATATTTTTAAAAGTACGGATGAAGTGTGCTGGTGGTAGGGAGTGACCTTGACGTACTGCACACCTCTAACTGATATATTATATAATTATATGAAGACGACTAGACCATTCGTTATAGAGAAGTAAACTTGACCCATCATGGTGACTGGACCAGTAGAGCTCCTCTACATGGTTGCTGGCTGGGGTCGACGTGATTAGACTGAAAGGTTTCTGCTCTTAGATTTATATATGTAAGGAGGACGACCAATGATAAGGTCAAAATGTAGAATCGTAAACAGGACGTTTGAGTGAAAGTGGGTCTCGTAGGCCTGACGGCATATTGTTGACAAAGTCTGTTGTCGGTGCATAATGAGACAGTGTGACCGGCACTATACTTCCCCCATTGTAAAATTAAATTCTCAGTCACAGCCGAGAGGACTGAGGATGCCCTGAGCGCGAACCAGCGAACCTTGAGACAGGAGGCAAGTGCTGCACCCTGACGTCATATGTGTGGTGCAGTCTATAGGAATTAAGTATCGTGGTGGGGAAGGCAGTCGGCCTCCCAGTCACCTCACAGGGAAGTACTTCTCCTATTTTATAACAGGTTATATAGCCTACTGAAGATATTGAACAGTACCGAAGAACTTAACGGATGGACGTATGGATGGACAAGTCCCCGTTTGACAAGTATACACAAATTACAGTACAGTAGGAGTTGAAATGCTGAAACTGTTATAAATCATTCGAAAACCGTTGTAACAGTGTTCGTGTCCGGCAAATTATACATTATCGGTGATGGTCGATGGTGGTCCAGCATCCTGCCGTGAGGGTGACGTAACCTGCTGGGTGTAAGATCCAGCCCGCCCACTCTACAGCACGGCATGGCAGGAAAGACTTGTATACACGTAAAAAAAAAGAAAAGAAAAAAGAACAGCTCTCAAGCGAGTCTGTTCCTGCAACTCCATTATGTAACAATCATCTAATTTGTTCCATTAAATAACGGTAAAAAGGCGACGGTCAAAATGGTGGTGGAATTAAACTGACACTACACAATACTATACTGTCTTGTCACCATTACTGTGAGGATGTTGTGCATGAGAGACCAGAAGATTTTGATCAAATTGGTTCATCTTTAAATCATGACATCAGCGAGTCATGGACGGGATGAAGGAGAATGTTCTTATATGTGAAGGTAATCGTTATAAGTCTTAAGGGACAGGTCAGTAATGTTATAAGGGTGGCTCAGTGGCTCCTGTCAACCAAGGGACGGACCAGTGTACATCATCAATACCGATCATCTGGACCTGAATGTTCAATAAATCTCTCGTTGGATTTTTTCCCTTGAACTGTGGATGAGAAAAGTAGACAGTTCGGTAAAGTCTCACAACAATTTCGACGCCAATTGAACCACCATTTCTGTTCTTGACATACAGTATGTGAGCCAGTCAGGTGTACTAGTTTGATAGGCAAGCAGCGTAAACCTATGGTGAAGTTCAGGTGTATTCCTCCCCTGCACCAGTGAATGAGGAATATCATGTATACTGATCAGCCATCAACTGAGACTGGTGATCTACCCAGTCCTTCAGAGCTGTTCCCTGATACCTCGCCACGCATAGGAGGCATTGCGGTGGCTATGATAGGTAACCGCTCCACACTCAG